TTTTTTTTTTATGAAAAAAACTAACAAAAGTGAAATTCATTATTTGTCCAAAAAAAGAGGAAGAAGAATCTGTAAAAGACTAGTCTTTCCTTGTAATTCTGTATTTTAATATAAATAAAAAAATAGTTTTTGATTACTCGCACAAAGTGAACGAATGCACTTGTAGTGCGAAGAAATCATTCGTTGATTAATAGTTTTAAAAAAATCCTCCAGGGCCGCCACCAAAACCACCACCACCGAAGCCTCCAGGGCCACCTCCACCAAAGCCTCCTGGACCACCGCCAAAACCGCCACCACCGAAGCCTCCTGGGCCTCCACCAAAACCGCCACCGCCGAAGCCTCCAGGGCCACCGCTACCAAAGCCTCCTGGGCCTCCACCAAAACCACCACCACCAAAACCACCTGGTCCACCACCGAAGCCTCCTGGGCCTCCGCCAAAACCACCACCACCGCCACCGAATAAGTCTACAAAAATCATATGAAGATAATAGTAACAAATGAAAATTAGTTAAACAATAGTTATTCAAGACATTTACCTCTAAGAAAATGATGATGATGATGATGATGACCAAACATGTCCAAGAATATGTTTTATGTCAATGTATAGACAATATTGACTGATCAATGGCGTATATATATACGCTATCTAAATTTACTGGAATAAATATTTGCACTTTTTCGATAGTGTCATTGTCAGCTCTTTTTCTTTTCTTCGTTTATTCGACGTGACAAAAAATTACATTGATAATATTGTTTACATTCATTCTTCACTTACTCTCACACCTAATTTCTGCTTGTTTTTTGTAAAAGTGCATTCATCGTTATAGTTATGCGCATTGATGTATAGTTATAATTTAGAGTGTGAACATAAAATGACGCGATTTTTAATAATGAAACGCTCCCTATAACATTTCTAATTTATATTCAATGCATTCAAGATACATGTTTGATTTAATATTACTCTATTTAATATTCTTTCCATAGAAAGTTTATGTAAAAATCGAAAATTCCTCTAATACTTGAAATAGTTTTGTTAAATTCGCAATTACGTATCAACTTAATTCGATTGACTATGTAAATAGAATAATATCATATACTTATTTAAAGAATAGAAACCTTGGTTTTATTTAAATATTAATTATACATAAGCTGTCAACGCTCTGTGCAAGACTTAGTTTCCATGATTATAGTTGTATACTTGTGAAACATTATACTAGTTGATTATGAGAACTTTTAGTACCTAATATTTTACTTATCTCATATCGTTTCATTCTTATATGCAAAAGAAAATATAGTATTTAACTGATTATTAGAAGACGTTGATTGTTATTCACATTATAAGAAAATTCTTCAAGTTATTCGTAGGATCCAGAAAAACGTTTTCGTTCTGATAGATTAGTATTGGTTGCTGAGATTTATCATACTTTGTGAAAATAAGCATAAAAAGTGTGTTTTGAAACTTTAGATTATGATCATATAAATTTCTTTAATACCATTGTTTATTAAAAATTTTATTAGAAATGAACTAATGCATAGTTAGAATAGTTTTTCTAGACACATACAATCTTTGCAGAACGCTTCTATAGATATTCTTCAATTGACAGCTTCTTTGTTCATTCTTATTGAATTATTTACACAGATTGTATATGGATTAATCTTCTATATGATTTCTTTTTCTTTTAAATACAAGCTACTACGATGACAACTAATACAATAATTTCTAGAGAAACTGTTGAATAAAAATATGGCAATTCAATTTAATCGGTAACTTTTATTATATTTTCATTTATTGTTTCTATTATGATTGTATTTGATCCTATAACATTTGAATTTTATTAACAAAAGTTATATATATACATTTTTCTAGTAAAAAAAAACTTTATGGGCAGAAGAGAAAAATCAAATTTTGAATATTTAGTATTGATATATTTACATTTCTCACTTAACTACCTGTCGACGAGACAAGTATGAAGAAAAAAAACATGCACAAATGAATAAGAAAAAAATAAAATATCATTTATTACTTGTCAAACTACACATGTCATGAACGCAGCGAAGTATAATTCCTCTCATTGAGTAGATAATAGACATCAAGCAAGTGTATTCATAGTGAAAAAATTACTAAATATTTATGTATTTATCTATTTCTATCGTATATCCATTGTTTGTAATATAACTAATAATATTCAGATCTACGATGAAATACCTAATTAATCATTACAATATTGATAGAAAAATTTGAACCAGTGAATAAGATAGGATATTCTAGTAATAACTGTATCGATCAAGAAAACATTGTTTACTATCATCCATAAAGATTTGCAATAGAAAATACTGTTGTCGTATATATAATAGAAATTAAAACACAAATTGGATCATTTTCTATAAAATATTAGTATTCCATTCCTTTTTTATCATTAATATAACATATTTTACACTATTGTTTAAAATGTCACATATATATTGTATAGTAAAACTAAAGACGAAATGCATAATTATTTGATTAAAAAGAACTACATTTTATATCCTATAAGAGCTCTTTTTTAAAATATATTTTTCTAAAACTTTTTTGTATCGTAATGGATCAGTTATATTTCATATTTGTAACATGAACTACAATAACTATGTACTCTTCCTGCATTCTTTCAAACGAGTAAAATTATGAAGAAGGTTATCTGATATTAAGATAAATTCGGTTTCTGATGGAATGTCAATATCATCTAACAAACGAAGTGCGTTAATTTGATTCTGCATTGGTGGAAGATATTTATAATGAAAAAATATAAAAATCATGTCACGATACAAATCGATAATCAATATAATAAGTCTGAAAAACGATGATGATAGAAGGTAGGAAGATTGATGAAAGAATTATACAAAGATTGTACAAGATTATACATGATCTTACTGACAATCCAATATTATAAGACTCATACCAATAAATAACAAAAATCTGTAAAAAAGACTGTTTTATTTT